CCATCTTTAAAGGGTATGGTCTGTGGTCAGTGGCCGTTGAACTGTGACACAGGGAAGAGAAGTCACACATAGTTCCGGTTTAACATAATATGTATTTTTAGTATTCGGATTTTTAATACAATTTTCTGTTGACAAGTATTAGGTCAAGGACCTAAATAATAAAATTGTTTTTGGTGTTGTGTTCGACAATAATATTAGTTAATAAACCTTAACGTTTTATTTCTTTTGTTTGATTGGGTAACCTTCTTTGGCTTCTACGAACCACCCTGAAGAATCAGCATATCTCGGCGCTTTACAACACATACACAGACACACAGACATCATCGCGAAAATAGTCAAAACGGATTCAGGGGACCTCAAAACGTAAAAATCCGTCGAAAACTCGAGGTCGAAAAAATCATGATTCCTATACTTTCCTTATGTCTGTGTATACAGATAGGAAAGTAAAAATGAAAACATTTTAATTTCAAAAAATCTGATGTGTCCAACACATGACTTTCCTATCTAGTTATTATAGGCTTTTTCCGGTTATTTTGTACAACCTATTGCAGCACCTCTATAAATGTTTAAAGGATAAACTAAATATATATATTTTCTACATACATTTAACTCGAAACATTTTTCTCTAGATAACGAAAATACTGAAAAATTTAAATTAATTTTCCTAAAAATTTGAATTTTATTACATTTTGTCAAATTTCTCGAATACGGACCATTTAAAAAAAAATCTGATGTGTCCAACACATGACTTTCCTATCTAGTTATTACAGGCTTTTTCCGGTTATTTTGTACAACCTATTGCAGCATCTCTATAAATGTTTAGAGGATAAACTAAATATATACATTGTCCACATACATCTACCGCGAAACGTTTTTCTATAGATATTCATTGAAAATGAAAATACTGAAAAATTTAAATTTAGCACTTTTCCTACAATTTTTCCATTACGGTCCATTTTAAAAAAATCATGTATGAACAAATATTATAGAGATCGATATCGCAAACAACTTTTATTTCAACAATTTTCATAAAAATCAGAATTTTGCACATTTTGTCAAATTTTTCGAATACGGACCATTTCAGGAAATTTTTACATAAAGCAAAAATTATAGATAATAATATTAGAAGTAACTTTTATTTGAACAATTTTTTTCTCCAAACATAAATAACAGATATATTCCATAAAATATAAAAACGGCCTCCCATAAAGTACCCCCCCAGATGTTCCGACTTTGTCCAAAATCTAATCATTTCACGTCAGGCCGAAATAAAACTTAAGTTTAAAATTTAATGTTTTTTTCTTTATCCGTTTTTGAGTTTTCTTCAAATTTCGAAATTTACACATTTTCTCAAATATCTCGAATACGGTCCATTTTAGAGAAATTATCTATAGAATAAAAATTATAGAGAATTATATTACAAACAACTTTTGTTTGAACAATTTTTATAAAAAAAAATATTTTTTTACATTTTGTCAAATTTCGCGAATACGGACCATTTTAGGAAAATTTTGTATATAACAAAAATTATAGATAATAAAATAAGAAGTAACTTTCATTTGAAGAATTTTCTTCCCCAAACGTAAATAACAGATATATTACATAAAATATAAAAATGACCACCCATAAAGTACCCCCCCAGATGTTCCGACTCTGCCCAAAATCTAATCAGCTCATTAGACGCTGGAACAAAGCTTAAGTTTGAAATTTGGTGTTTTTCCGTGTATCGGTTCATGAGTTATGCGTTATACAGACACACACACACACACAGACACACACACACACATCATCGCGAAAATAGTCAAAACGGATTCAGGGGACCTCAAAACGTAAAAATCCGTCGAAAACTCGAAGTCGAAAAAAATCATGATTCCTATACTTTCCTTATATCTGTATACAGATAGGAAAGTAAAAATTCATAAATCAAAAATGAAAAGTGATATCAATATAATTTTTTTTAAGAAGCCACAAAATTTGAATAAAAATGCGAGTTTAAGAGGGGTTGAAATATTTAAAAAAATCTAACTCAAAAACGAACAATATTACCAACTTGAAATTTTTGGAAAAAATCAAGATCTACAAGGGGATGAAGCCTATTGAAAAAATTTGATTGACAAGTTATAAAATTAATTTAAGAAAAAAACGACTTTAAAATCGTGTAAATAAGATTTTTTATTATCTCATAGATCATTAGATCCTGACGAATTGTATACGGAACTACCCCTGAGGTATTTCCTATCAAAAAAAAAGAATCATAGAAATCGCACATGGTGATAATTTTTTTTTTTATTTGGTGTCATCGGCATCGACTACTAATGCCATTAGCCTCGTGTTCTGTGTAGGCTTTGTTACTGTTTCCCCGCGCCACTTTAGGAACAGCACTGTTAATTAGAACCCAACCGTGAATGGTCGAGTGGGGTATCCTACCAAGGCATCAGAATTAATTTTAAATTAATTGATAAAAATGCAATAAGGCGCAAAGTACATCAATTCTTCTTTAGAAATTAACTTCTAACAATTGATAAGGTTTTATAAGAAGTCAACGATGATCCATATTTGTCTACTTTTAAGCGAGCTACATTTTACAAGCTTTTTAAAACCCTTAATTTTAAATTTAAAACTCGAGGAAAAAATAGTTTGCTTTTAGACAAAAATTAAATTGTTTCGTCCTACGCCACAAAAAATAAAACGGTACAGAGAAGAAAAGCAAAAAATATATTATCTTGATGAGACTTGGATTAACGCAGGCCACACCAAATCAAAAGTATGTTTCGATATGTCGGTTTTTTCATCCAGACAAGCCTTTTTGGATGAACTTTTAACTGGTTTTAAAAATCCATCAGGTATGTGCGTAAAAACAACTCATTATATGCCATATTGGAAGTGAAGAAGGCTTTGTCTCTAATGCACTTTATGTATTTGAGTTGAAAAATCCGGTGACTACCATGAAGAAATGTGTGGAGAATCGTTCATTCAAACACCCTACCAAAATTAGAAGATAACTGCATTATTATTCGAGAAAGCTGGAAAAAATATTTACGACGTCTAAAAAAGGTGATATTTAAAAATGGCTATAAGGGAAAAAAATTGAATTCGACTACCAAATGCTTAAGATCCAACTTCTAAAACTTGGTAAGCAACATAAACATTATGATAGGTATGTAATAGATGAAATGGCTAAGCAGCAAGACAACATAATACTTCACATGTCCGATTCAGAATAGTCCTAAGTCAAGTAAGGAAGATTGCTATAATACAGGGTACAAGTTGTCTAATCTAAATACTAGTAGAACAAGAACAATAAAGAACAAAAGTTATCAAAAATACAAAAGGTTTCTTTTTAAGATGCACAATTTTAAATCAAATACCAAATTCAAATACCAAATACATCTTATATTTAAAGTTTTTTTAATGCTTTTAGTAGATATATATTAGCTATTAAAGAATTTGCAATTATTTGGACACCCTGTACAATATAATTTTATAATATGATTGTTTTAATGCTTTGTATCACAGTAGACATATGTAATGAACTAAATATAATGCAACCATCTCTTTTAAAGTCAAATACATTTATTCATTTGTATTGCAGGTTAACGCAGTTTATGTCGCTCACCTATCTTCGTCCAAAAATGTCACTAAAGTCTGGGAGACCGTGTATGGCATTTATTTTATAGTTTTACTTTACAAAATATGTTTTTATCGTAATAAAAAAATAATTTCAAAATTACATTTTTTTATTTTACATTTTTTCAAGACGGAAAAGTAAAATACTGCCCTGCTCAATTTTAGCGTCCACCTGCTTCTCAGGCGTAAATTAAATTTATATAGACTTTAGTGGCCCTTAGAAAAAACATTAGACAGCACCAGAATGAGATAATAATGGGAGGTGACTTTGATGCAAATGAAGGCAAAAGAGGAGAAATACTGTCAAAATGGCTAGGAGAAGAGGACAAAGACGTACCTACATTTATAAGGGGAAATAGTAAATCCTATATAGATATAACTTTTAGCACAACAAAATACCCAAACACTTGATTAACTGGAGAGTATTAGAAGAAGAAAACTTAAGCTTACATCAACATATTTTGTATGAACTCCAGGAAAACAATGACAAAAAACAAGACCGAAGGAGCATTAGCAAGAGAGGCTGGCAAATCAAGAAAGAAAACATGCATAAATTAGTGAAAGAATTCTGCAAAGTAATCGATAACAGGGAGAGGGCAGTAACAATAGCTAGAGAGATAACCATCGCAATAGAGACAGCTTATTGTGATAAAACATTTCGCAATAAAAGGGTAAATTTAAGGAGGAAACCCGTTTATTGGTGGACTCAGGGAGTAGCTGAGAGAAGAATGGAATGTGTGCAAAGTAGAAGGCCAATGTTATGGGCAAACAAAGGAAACAATGAAAACCAGAAGATAACCCTTAACGAACGATGTAAGCTGAAAAGAAAAGAACTTAAGAAAAGCGAAGAGACAGAGCTGGAAAATAATATTGTCGTATGTTCCCTCGATGCCCAAGAAAGCTCCTAACATTACCCCCTTGTTTTCCAGTGTGTTTTTTACCCTTTTTACTAATTGACGGAAAGCTGTTTCTATTAATTTTTCTGCACTAAAGGCGCATTCTGGATTATTGGTCTTTTAACCAATATCCCGTCTCTAATATGTATATCCAGTAGTTTCTCTCAAGTTTTAAGTATGAAATAATTACTTAATCATGCCTCAATATTACAAGAACAAGATTTGCCAATGTTTGCAAAAAACTTGAAAACATAAGAAAAAAAAAAACTATTTATCTTCTGCTAACAAAAAATACAGTCGATTTTAAAACTTGATTAAAAATTCATCAAAATGGACATCTTTCTTTTCCAAATTATGAATTATTAAAAAAAGAAAATGTGAACAATTAAATATTATCGATTATAAAAAATAATATATGCACAGAATTATCTATTAAAATATTTTAAATATAAAAAATGTACATCCAAAGATACAAACCTTTTGCGTCCTTCTCATGATATCTTTCCATGATTTATCAACAATAATAAATAGTTTAGCTTCATTAGGTAATTGTCTTTGAATATCTGGAGCAGAAAAAATGACTTCCAAATAGACCCAACTCTGTTGACACATCCACCACTCATCCTAAAAACAAACAAAAAATGTATCATACATAAAACATACTAGTTACGAGATGAAGGTGTAAAATATTCACCAGAGTTCTAGAGAATTTATCTAGATTTCTGACCCATTCATCGACACGTGGTTTAATAGGTCCTACATGTCTAGAACTTGCAATAGTCGTCATATTGATATGACTTTCATCTAACACGACTTGCACTTCTTCGAGTGGTCCAAGGACAAATACATCCTTTTGCTCCTTGTGTGAATTCACAGGGAATTCAAGTCCTTTCCAAGATTCTTCTACCTACAAAAAGTATTTTGTTATAAGCTGGAAGTTTTTATGCAACTCATCTAGATTTTTATTGGTCGCTACTAACAACTTTTTTTACATATTCTGACCTAACGGTGTTGAAATTTAAAAATATTTTGTAATAGTGTAAATAAAATTAACGAATGATTTCTGTAAATATGGTAAGAACGGCTCCTCTCAAAAATCAAATAAAATTCTGGTAGAAATAATTTTGTTGGGATGGCAAATCCATTAAAAGTATTTTTAAATTTAGTAGAAAACATCTTTAAAAGTATTGTGTCATAACAATCAAAAATTTAAATGAGGTTTCAGATATAAAAACAGTTTCGAAAATGTTGGATCAAGACCATTTTACGAAAAGTGTAATTGGCGATGAAAACTGTGTGGCATCCTCCAACAAAACAAGAGTCAATACAGAGGTTGCATAAAAAGTCTGCGCCACTAAAAGACAAAAAAATTTTGTATTCAACTAGAAACTTGATGACCCTTTTCCAGAATTACAAGATGTTCCTGTTGTTTCAACGATTAAAATAGTTTCTAGGAGTTGAGACCCCCGGTATATTTTCCGGATCTACCACTAAGTGACTATATGATATTAAAAAACAAACTGTGTACCTTCTTTAACAGCACTTCCAAGCCTGCTTCACTACTGGCTTGCGAAGATATCTCCATCAATTCGTTTGGATAGTTGAAGACTCCTAGTTGTTCCAATATTTCCAGAGTTATAATTTCATCTGGTTTGAATTTGTGAATTAGCAAACTTTCTATTTGAATCCAGTGACGAGCTTTCAAATTAGGATTACTCAAATTGCATACAACGGGCAACTAAAAAATAATATTAACTTTGTCACAAAGAAGATTTTGTTTTCATTTCTGCTGTTAACAAATGGTACTAATTGATAGACAGATCATTTAAAAACAAAGGTAAATTATTAATAAATAATTGGTAATAGTTTGTTCTTCTATCTAATACATAAAAAACTCAATTTTTATTTATATACGTGATAAAAAAAATGGTTATTTGATAGCTATTTTGTTTTAATTTTTCTAATATCATTGTATGGCGTCCTTTTCTTAAAAGTTTCCATCTAAATTCATTAGTGAACAGCCAGTATGCCGCCTCCATAGCCTCCTTTACCACAAGGTGTAATGCAGGAAGACCAAAAAGTAGCTACACTGCTGCAGTGGGCGTAGTTTTAAATGCCCCTGTTATTATTTGACAGGACAGTCTTTGTACCTTATCTAATTTTCTACTAGCTTTTATGTTTTTAGCCTTGTGCCACCATATGACTAATGAGTATGGGTACTATAACCATGGTATAAAGCCAGTGAATCATACTTGGTTTAAGCTTCCATGTGTTACCTACTATCTGTCTACAGTTCCATAATATTCTTACAGCTTTATCTGCTGTTTTTTCTATAGAGCTGCAGAAGAGTGATTCCAAGATATTTAACATCCTTTGCCATTTTTAGATGTTGTCTCCACATATAAAAGTTCCTTTTTCTTGTTAATTAACAACAGATGTTTTCGTCGGGTTTGTGGACAATCCCTCTTTTAAGCATCATCTTTCGACGATATTTAGTGCCTGCTGCATCCTTTCGTAAACGATAGCCCCAAATGTACAGTTTACTACAATGCTTATGTCGTCTGTAAATGCTTGCGTGTATAGATTTTCTCTCTGCAACTTCCATAAGAAGTCATTAATCACCATGGTATACATGAGTGGAGATAAAACTTCTTCTTGCAGACACCCTTGTTAACTGAGATCTATCTTGTTGTGTAGTGTTAGAGATGTTTCTGGTAATGGTTCTATGATCAAGCATAAAATCAATCCACTGCTTAGTGCAGTGTGCATAGATCCCAGTATTAAATTTCACGAGGCCGAATCAAAGGCTCCATCTATATCTAGAAAAACTCCTAGTGCTATTTCCTTGCTTTCCAATGCTTATTTATCATTTTAAGCTAGCCTATGCATGACCGCCTTGCAAGACTTTCTAGATTGGTAAGCAAACTGGTATCGATGTATCGGGTTATGCCAAAGAACATCGTCCCGTATTATATCCATCGATCAATTTCTCCAAGGTTTTAATAATTATTATTATTATTATTATTAAATTTTCGTGACGCAACAAAATCATGAGAGATCTACACATATTCGCGATTCAAATTAATTTTCGCGCGCCTGTCATTTGTCACGTATAAGTAGGATGTTTGTTTATTTACGTGTTGTGGGATTTTGTATTTGTGATTTTTTAACTGTTTTTAGATAATATTCTTATTATAATAGTGTTTTTGAGTTTAATTTAGTGTTAATTTAAGTTCAGTTTTCGTGCTTTCGTTATAAATGTAATATTTTTCATGTGTAGTATGAACTAATTTGTTGGAAATATTGACCTATTGGTTCCTACAAGAACATCTAGAAATATGTATTTACTAAACCCAGGACATGTTTTATTATGTGGTTTAAAGGACATATCAGGTACCAAACGTTTATTATTGATGAACTTCTTTAAAAATCTTACTATCCTTATTCTTATATCATGAAGTGAATTGTGTAGTACTTTGTATACATGTAAATGGTAATAAAACCGTCACAATTCATATTGGAGTTTGATTCTAAACAACGTTTTGCAAAATTTCAATATTGTGAATTTGTAGATATCCATTTATCGTAAGAAACAAAATTTTATGACTTGTGTAAGAATGATTTTATTTTCTATACAAAATTATTAAGTTTTATTTTACGAAACACCCGGTTCTTTTTAAACGCACGAAATATTTGTCTTCCAAAATAGCTACAGACCATGTTTACATTAACACCATTAAGATATGGAGATATCGGATTACGAATATGGGAACTAAGGGTAAAATATCGAAACAGGCATAAAATACAGATCATTCTGAATTTGAGTTAGTTACTTTACGGAACAAAATTAAAGTTCGTTCCAATAATAATAATAATAAAGAAAAAAACTGGTGAATATTAATTTTTGTGAGTGGCTGTTTGCTGAACAGGGTGAGTTTTTCTCACTGAGTAATTATATTTTATCAATTAGTTTTGTTTTAATTTGTAATCAAGTTATTTTGCAAATTATATTACCCAATTATTATCCATTAACCTTTTATAGTTAATTTGTCAATTCTGACGTAAAGATATTTTGTCAAGTATTGAGAAAACCTTATATCCTAAATTAACGGGGTTATATTAAATAATTAAAACTTATTTGAATTTGACTATTTACTTATATTTTGTTTTCCTCTACGAGGTGTAATCAAAAGTAAAGTGAGTTAGATTGTCTGTTCTGGCGTAGTACATTGCGGTCAGTGTTTGCGTTTATTTAGGGATTAATCCCGGAGTCGTCGCACCATGGTTGGTGCGGGCTAGTGGCATTGCGGTCAGTGTTCTAGTAATGGCTTTTTATATATCAATCGATGTTTGGGCATTGCGGTCAGTGCCTACAGAATTGAGAATATAACTTTTTGTCAATTATGGAAAATTTGAAGTTGTGTCAATTATATTTTTTTTTATAATCAATATTTTGACATATTTATCATGTATAATTTTCTTGTTAATTAAAAGGATAATAAGTATTTTATTTATGGATATCACCTTTTCATGACTTTCTTTAATGTAAAGCTGCTTTTGGTAAACTTGATTGCTCATACTTGTTTTTCTTTTATTTCAGGTACGCCATCTCATAAGGGCATTAATTACATCTCATACGTGCATTAAGTATTTTATCTATTTTATTTTAATATTATTTTATTTGCATTTTATTTTGTTCTATATTTTATATTTCAATTTAAAGTTATTAAATCGTTTATTGAATTAATTTCCAGTTTTTCCTGACATAGATTAAATAACTAAATATTACCGCCCAAATTTATAATAGATATTTTTAAATTACAAATATCGTCCTAAACTTGCACTTGAAAAATAATGAATACAGTTTTGATTTTGACAATAACACCATATAGATTGCAATTTGCTGGAGGCTTTTTCGCAGATTTCATTTTTAATTTAAATACTATCACATACTATAAGAAATTAACAAATTTAAAGTTAAAAAGTAACAAAAAACTCTAATTGTAATTGATACAAATTAAAATGTAAACAACGAACACGAACGCCAATGTTGCCAAATGATGAACTGATTTTGTCGCTGACTGATTTTAAAACTAAAATTAATAAATGAACTGAAATTTAAAAAAAAAATCAATATAATAAATCGATTTTATAAAAAAATCCTTAAATAAATAGTATGATTACATATTACTAGACACAAATTTTGATTCCTAAATAAAAGGTCTTATCCATTTCTTCAAGAACTAAAATCCGACGACGTAACGAAATTTTGCTGCTTCTGGCAACACTGAACGTCATCCTACTTATAGGGACCTTCTACTAATTTCCTCCAGAGGGCGTATCACTTAGCTTGAATCGCGAATATATTAAATAACTACAATTGTGTCGGTAAAAATCAAACGTGGCTATCTCCATATTCCATTTCTGGGTATTTGAATTTTAAATCGTTAATCTTATTGACACTGTTCATCCAAACTCGACAAACTCCTTTCGAAACGTGTGAAAATATGACCGTTATTTATAAGTTTACTTCAAACTCGGCCATCTCCACAGTTCCTGTTAAATTAATATTGGCCATCTCCATCAAGTCCAATCAAGTGGCTTTGTTTCCAGTTTATTAGACATTACTGTTAGATGTGATTGTTATGAGAAGTGTGTGTTTTGGATTTAGTTATAATTCAATAAAATAAAAGTGCTATGGAGACAAAAATTACTAAAGTAGTTCCAGATATGGCAAAGAAAAGAAATATGTTGAAGAAAACAATCAAACGACTTCAGAAATCGGATAAACTATAAGTTCAATTTAGCATCCAAATAACCTATGTTCTAATGCATGTATTGCTGTGAGGCAGAGCCGCACTCTGAATCTGAACTAAAAATAATGTCGCAAATTTTATACAAAGATTTATTATTCCATAGAAGGGCTAGTTATTTTATTTATAAGTTTATCGATACATTTTTTTTTAATTTAACATGCAAACTACATCCTGTTGCAGACGAGCTAGACAATTTAAAATTATATTCAACATAATAGGTAGTTCTGTCTGTTCTAGTTCCATTCTTGTAGGTACTTTACAACAAGACTTTTATTTTCCAGATATGCCGCGCAAAAAAAGTATACGAGTGCCAGTTACTAAATTCTAATGACTGTTTTTCGTTCATAAATCATTTTATACATATACAACAAAACCACAACAAGATACCTTTATACTGCAATATTGTAAAGTATCCGTTTTTAAATAAAATGTTTATTTAATTATTTTGTTTTATATTATACTAATCCAGCCCTGTATGCACCTGTACTTTGTTAAATCAAAATCGTCTATCTCCAATACGTTTTATTTCAAAATTGGCCAAATCCCCGACTATCAAATCAAACTGAGCTATCTCCAGAAGAAAAACCGCAATTGTAGCTTTTCTGCAAAATAATCAATATGTATTTCTATATAAAAAAGTGAAACTTAATGAAAACTTTTAATAAAATAACGCAATTTCACTATACTTTCGTAAATTTTCTTAAATTACTAAAAGTACCTTTTTCAGTGTTGCAATTCTCACGGAGATGGCTAAGTTTGATTTTTAGCGACACAATTGACAAAATACAGGCATTTCATTGGCTGCCGTTTGCTATACGTCATGGCCTCATAGTCAAATTAAAATCTTGAACACGCTCATTAGCTATTTTTGATAAACGTCAAAGTGTAGGTCTGACAGTTTTTATCCGACCAGTACTTCCAT